GTTCTTTTTTTCTTATAAAAGGCTAAATAAAACAAAAATATTGGTGGTAATTTTTGACTGTAACTTTACAAACGGTACCCCGTACACTTAGCTGTTGTTTAATAGTGTCTTTCATAATTAAATGTGTAACAGTGAATTCTGACTTGAAAGAGTTCAGATAATATTTGAAAGATGTAACTCTGGAGCAGTAAGGGGGATCAGCGGCCTCAGCACTCGGGGGTGTGGCGGGGGTTGGGGGGGTCTCAGAGGGGCAGGCGCCCACACGCTCCACTAAGTGTTCAGCTAAAGCTTCATTTTTCACATTTTCTGCGAGCAGCACAAAGTGCTGACAGTAATTAAAGAGCTGTGTTAGCAAGTCGGTGCAGAAAACCACCTTCAGGGCAACTGGGTCAGTCCAAAAAACTCATCCTCTGTTTTCTGCCCTGGTTTTTAGCTGAATCTGAGGCTTCCTCAGCTGCCCAAGAGACCCAGTAATCTTTGAAGTTCTCCAGAGAAAAACACGTCCCCCCGACAAACGGCAGCACCGCTGGCAGCCGGATAGAGTTTCAGCTTTTCAATTAAATTCAAATCACAGAGCTGTGCTGAACGAGGATTGCTCAACGGACCTTCTCTGCATAAATACTGACGGCTGAAACTAATTACAAAGATGTATACGTGTCACTGACAGATGCTCCACACCTGCAGAAAACTCTGTCTTTGTGTCCAAAACTGAGAGAGTTTGGGCCGAATTTTGATTGTTGTTTCACAAACAACAGCTGCTGAGTGTGGGACACACAGTGGCATCAAACTAACATGAACGACACACAACATGAAGACAGATGAGGACAACAATCAGATCACTGCTGCTGCTGCAGACAGCTTTCCTGTTTCCCACCCTCTCTTCTGACTGGCTGTTGGAAACACGTGTTTGTTGTTGGGCCTGTGACCAGTTCTAATGACCCAGACTGAGCCTGAGGTCTGCTCTGTTTGTACGGCCTGCCGTTTGTAAAGTTACAGTCAGAAATTACCACCAAGATTTTTGTTTTATTTAGCCTTTTATAAGAAAAAAAGAACAGATTAATTTTTCAAAGTCAGTTTTTCACCAAATGATTCATACATTTATAAATGTCATAGTT